TGCCAGATTGGCATTTATTACTACTCATGATCACTGATTTTACAATCTTGTGGGGTTTTTTTCTTTTGCACTCCATTTAAGAAATAGAAATGTTAACTCACCAAGCTTGCCTCTTCAAACCTTTTCCTGTCTGAGCTGTCAATTACATAGATCTGCAAACAATCGGTGATGAAGATGAACAAACAGAACACATCATAAGTAAAATATATGAGACTGCAAGCACTGTACAATTATTATTAAGACTGTTCAAGCAGAATTTACACTATTGGTTTCCTGTTTATAACTTCTTATGCATGTTTTTTTTTTTTTTGCACACTACTTCTGCAGACTTTTGACCATTTTAACTACTGATACATCAAAATGTGTAGATTGATCAGGAATAAAGTGGCTTTTGCGGCTTTTATACCTTTCCATTTCTTTATAGCTTTATTTACAATAAAGTTACTTCTAGAAATACAGTGAGATATTTTCTATCCCCTCCGAACATTGTTCTCTTTAACATCTGCTTCAGCACGACTGGTCCATTGTTAATTATTATCATTATTTTATTATTATTATTATTATTATTATTATTTTATTGTTATTTTCTTCTATTTGAGCTCTTATAGTTAACATTTTGCTATGTTTAGCTTTTACCCATTGTTTGGCCATTTTTTTTTTTTTTACCATTCTGCTTCTTTTAGCTTTTAGCTACAGTGTTTGTTAATTTTAGCTCCTGATTTGTGAGTATTAACTTCAGCATGCGTTCTGCTAATTGTAGTTTTTAGCTCCTGTTTTGCCTTTTATGTTTTGCTAATTTAAGCAGCAGTTTGCTTATTTTAGTTTTAGCATCTTGATTAGTTACTATTTGCTAAAGATTTGTTCATTTTAGCTTTTGCTACGTTTCACTTTATCTAATTTGTGATACACTTTAGCTCATTTTAGCATGTTTTATTTCTTTTAGCTGCTGAAGTTTTAGCTATTACTCTACTGCTTAGCTCTTGTTCTGCTGCGTTTAGAGTTTTGCTTGTGTTCTGTTCGTTTAAGCCTGTGTTTTTCTCTAAGTTTAGCCTCCGTTCTGCTTGTTTTAATTCCAACCACACAGCTTTTTCAACAAATTTGAGCAGTCATTCAGCATCCAGCACTCACGCTGAAGAAAAGGCAATTTCCCTGGTTGTAATTATAATTTTTGTGATTTATCTGTTTAAATAAAGGTCAAATTAATTTTCCAACATAAGACATGTTTCAGTAAACCAAAATTAACTTACCAAAACGTCCGTGTTCTCAAAATAATTCCTCCAGTAAGGACGGATCTTCCGCTGCCCTCCAATGTCCCAGACATTTAACCTGAAGCCTGAAGACTGCACGCTCTTTATATTAAAGCCCTGTTAAAAGTTAACAGATGTTTGTGGGTAAGTCTGACATACATTGCTGACGTGAGTTGAAGCATAATCTGTTTGACTAGAAAATGGAGAAATGAAGTGTAAAGACTTCCCAGAGTCTGTGGCTAACCTAGTATGTAAGTGTGAATGGAGATGTGTACTTGTGTGGGGGTGACATGGCTGATGTCTTCAGCTGATAGCTGTTTTAACAGAGTGGTCTTCCCAGCGTTGTCCAGCCCCAACAGCAGTAAGCGCACCTCCTGCTCTGGGGACGGCTTCATTCTCCGAAGAATCGACAAAAGGCCCTGCAGGAGGATCACAGCTTGCATTAATGGGACTTAAACCTCAATGGGGGAACACGTAGAGTCACGATGTCTCGGTAATGGAGTTCCAGCCTGGAGAAACCTGAGTCACTCAGCCAACAGCTAGAATCATCTGAGCAGAAGGATTTAGCTGTTAGCCTGTAAAGTCATCTAATGTTCTAGGTCAAAGACGCTCTGTAGGCGGAAAAGATTAGGCACCTGAACAGTGGGTGGCTGGTGTCCAGAAGGTAGCAGAGAAGGCTTTATTTAGCTACTTATTCCTTTATATTTTACTTCCAAGAAGTCAAACACTTGTAATATTTGAAAATGCGTTCTCTCATTTTTTTCATCTATGCATCCATCTTCACTTGTTTTTTCCTTTTCTGGGTCGCGGGGGTCACTGGTGCCCATATTCAGCAGTCACTGACTGTGAAATAAAATAAAAAATATAGTGTCTAAAGTCCAAAGAAAACTGCTAGAAAGCCTGGGAAAAAAATTCATACACCTTTATAAGAAACTTTGGCTTCTTGGTAAAAAAGTTTCAAGAAATGAGAAGCGGTTTAAAACATTTGCACAACACTGTGCACCTTACAGACAAATTTGCTGAGGTAGAAACACTCCTCGAACTCGTATCACTATTTTTATGTCTTGGCTCTGTGATTTTGTTTCTTATTTTTTATGCACTTCTGTTTCCATAAATTGGATTCTCTGTGAACAGTTGCATTTTTGTCTTTAACTTTTTGTTTTGAAAGTTAAATAAATCTTTCTCTCTGACAACATTAATTAAAAGTATATTTTGATTAAGAAAAAACAACTAACCAACTAAGCAGACACTTAAAATGAAGCAGGCAGGAAAAGTAAACACAATAGCAGCAAAAACTGTGATGCTCATCAGTACCGCTAAGAGCTAAACTGTTCTGTCATCCAGACTAATTAGCAAATATATTGGATCCCAATAAAAAACAAGTAAGATCATCTTTTAAATTCATAGTTGCTGATGCTGGGAATCGAGATAGCTCACCATGTTTCCGTCAGGTGTTTCTGTGGCCGGTGTTTATGTTGAGTGGATTAACGTCTTACTCGTCATGCCTCTCAGCTGACCAGCTGACAAGTTTTTTTGTTGCCATGGAAACCATGATGTGAAACAATGAGATGGAAGAGTAACGTTACAAACAGTGAACACAAACATAAAAAGGTTATCTTGAACTATATCAAATGGTGCAGTTTGTAAGTGTTTAATCCACCAGCTTTATAGATATATAATCCTGAAATACAGGTGTGCACTCTATATAAACAAAGCCCCTTCATCCCCATGTTTTACTCAACAAATCTGTTTATAATGCGGACCAATGCATAAAAAAATTGTTAATTTCTTGATCCCAAATCTTCCACAGACGTTGTCATTGTTTATCTATTTCCAGTGACTTTGGCTAATTCCACGAGTAAACAAACCCACATGGTAATGGTAGTAATGGTATCCATTCACAAATTTTGCTTACAATTTTTTATTCAAGGACACTTTAACTATCAATATAATAAGCAATGAATAGATTTAGGCTGGACATGGGCACCAGCGACCCCCGTGACCCAAAATGGAATAAGCGGGTAAAGCTAATGGATGGATGGATGGATAGATTTAGTTTCTTAGTTCATGATAAAGCAAATCTTTAATGGAGGATTGTCGCAATAAAAATGAACTACTTAACATAATCTTACAATAAAAAATTGGATTCAGTTCCTAAAAGGGAAAATTAGGCTTTAATGAATTGTATTTCTTTTACATCATGGTCACACCTATGTGCAAGGTATCACGTTAGTATTGTTACTAATATAATTTTTATTACTCTAATTTACTATATTTTTAATTTGTATCTCTTTTTTTTTCTTTCATTTCACTTGCAACCTACTTGGCATCTTTTTATTTTTTTAATATCTACTTCTAAGAATTTATTTCATCTTATTTTTTTTATCTTGATTAATATTTCTGCTGTGGACAAAATATTTTCTATTCTATTTTATTCAGTTTTTTTATTCTTATTATTATTCATTATTAGTTCAAAAGAAGGTCCTAGATGTTTTATGCACTGTACTTGCTCTGAGAAGATATTACACCTCTGTAAATAGGGGAGAATCAGGAGAGGGATTTTAAGTTGATTCCTCTCTCAGCAGTTTCATGGAATCAAATATAAACATAATATATGCCGCTCGATGTCATAAAGTGGAGGAAAAAATAATTAATAAAGCAAAATAAGAAGATATAGCTTAATATCTTCATGCTTCATCACAAAAATGCACAGCTTTTTAGCTTCAGCCATTAGTTTAACAGCAAATATCAAACTACTCATAAAACAAAACAAAAAAATGCTTCTAAAGTATACAAAAATAATAAATGATTGTCAATCAAATATCTTAACAATATACAGAATACAAATATATAATGTTTCAATCAGCATTACCTGTAAAAGAATCACTCAAGTTACTTTGCTTCCTCAGCAGTTTAATGGAATGAGTGGAGCGCGCCCCCTAGTGGTGAATGTGGCACTACAGGTCAATCCCAGAAAAAGTTTAGCTGATTACTGCATGGATTGAAAACAATTTCCTTAAATAAAATAAAACAAGCATTAATGCAACACGAAATATATATTTTTAACAATTTTAAATTGTTTAGAGGCTTATATGGAATATGAATATTTATTCTAAACTTTTTTAATGTCATGAAATCATATGAATAATAGTTCATCAACTAAAAAAATTATTATAAATTAATGATGATAGTGTGAATTATTTTCAAAAGCAGCGCTAAAGCATCAATGTTTTGGACAAAGAAAATTGCATGGGGTAGTTGTATTTTTAAGTGTGAGCAAAGCATTTCTTAATTTGCCAAACAGTTTTTTTTAAACTAAACTAATTAATCCTTTTGCCGAAATAAATAAGTACAGTTAAACCAAAAGAGCAATGTTTTGGATAAAAAAAAATCTTCAATTGCAGCAATGTTGAAATACAAATGGAGTCCTTAAAATTCAAAAATAAAATAAAAAAAAAAAAAGTGAAAATTGTCAAGGTTCCTTTTTTTGTTTTATTTTGCATTTGAGAAGTGGTGTTTTTTCTTAGTGATATTGTTGTTTTTTGTTTGTTTCTTTTTTTTCTACATTAACTTAAACCCAATATAAAATCTTATTCAGATGTATTTATGTCGTTGGTTTTGACGCTCACTTGCCCACAGCGCCCCCTACAGTTCAACCACCGCCTCTGCTTCATGTCTTGGCCCTGGAGGAGGAGTGTTTCTCGGTCAAACAACGAAAACATGTCTGAGTGACAGACGGAATCATTATTAGTCTCAGCCATCTGGTGTCACCGCAACGAGTCGTTTGTTCGACCAATTACTATATGATTCCTGTCGGATTTACGGCCGACAACCCAGAAAGATGCCGCAGAAAGCACTGGGATCCATTGTAGGTCTTCTTTGTACCGGGGCCTGTTTCGTGCAGGTAAGCCCGCGTTCGAGCTCAACCAGTCAGCGCGAGCTTCCAGGCGAGGCCGCTGCTTTAGGGCTTTGCCAAGGCCTTCCTTACCATTCTTTTTGTCTCCTCCACAAAAGAAACTGGGGACGGTCCGCTGCTGTTTGCTGTAGATGACGACAGTTTGCAAAAGTTTTCTTTTGTATCTTCACAACTGTATCAGTGGCAAATTTTGCTTGCCGACTGAAATAACTTCACGGCTGTGTTTTATTCATCCAGACAATTTTCATCGAAGGCGTTAGGAAGAGTTAGCCGCAGCTAACCCGGCTTATCGACATATTTATTCATAGCTGTTGATGTTAGCCAACCTCAGTTTATCCACGGAACGTTTTAGCTGGAAATAATACTTTAAATGTCGTCTAAGCAATAAAAAAAAAGTTACCCCCTCTTAATCACACTTTGTTGCTATTTTTGTTATGAAAAACAAAGAGAATGATGGTTGTTGTTATAGTGTGATGATGTATAGAATAGTCATTACAGTAACATTGTTAGCGACAGATAAATAAATGTATTTGTGTCAAACTTTGTGACATCACATCGTAAATGATCTGGGTGCTGGTTAGCTATGTTAAACTACCCTCATCATTTGGCAACATTGTTTCCTTAAACATACTGTGTATTGTTATTTTATATGTGATTTAACTACATTACACTAAGCTGCTTTCATCTGTAGCTACTGCTTTCCCCCAGGCATCTAATGGAAACTATATTTACATGTAATATATATATATATATTTTTTTCCTGGTGAGTGATACAAAAATGTGCCAAACACAATGAGTGACATTGAAGTGACCATGAAAAGGGGCGAGCCTTTTCTGTTAACTTGTGTGATTGAATATTGACTGTGTGCACCTCTTGTTTGTGTTTAAGGGTAAGGAGTTCTGTTTTGGGGTAAACAATGAGCAGTACCGCTGCGAGATGGGCTACTGCTGCGGAGAAACGGAGTGCTGCACTTACTACTATGAACTCTGGTGTAAGTATAGTTGTACAGTTTTGCTTCCTGCAGATATGTTTGTACATCTATCTGTCTACATCCGTTTTTAGACTTGTTTCTTATGACGTTATATTCCTTGTTTTTAAAAGAAAATTAACGTGCACATACTGAGAAATCAATAATAACCAGAATTCAGTTTAAGGGTCTACAAATAATTAAACCTGCTGAACTTTAGCTCTAACTCCTCATCAGGGACTTGTTGAGTCAGATAAAGCTTTGATAACTTAGATCACCTTCTTTCAGTACTGATGATAAGATTACACTGAGCCTGCCTCCTCCCACAGGGTTCTGGTTGGTATGGACGCTCATCATAATGCTGAGTTGCTGCTGTGCATATCGACACCGGAGAGTTAAAATGCGTCTGCAACAGGAGCAGCGACAACGTGAGATCAGCCTCATGGCCTATCAAGGAGCCTCAAGCTCCTTCATTACACCCCCACCTCTCAATTTAAGTGAGTACCGGTAGTTTTTTTCTGGTTTCTTTCAGACATTCACTGAAATTTCACCAAAAAGTCTACATTTTGGATCTCTCTTCCCTTGCAGAACCTTAAAAAAAAATCTTACATCTCTATCTCAAAGCCTTTGAGAGTTGCTTAGTGCACATTTGATTAGATGGAAGGACTGATCTCCGTATTTAAATGTGTCCAAAACAGGCTGTGTAAAGCTAAATGCAAAAACATATTTTACATCAAGCTTGGCTCAAAGCTCATATACATTTATGAGAGTCATGACACCTAAATTTGTATCAGCATTAAGATCATAATCAACGTCTGCTCAGTCTGTATTACTCAACCAACACAGTACTTTAAGTTAAATAAAACATCAGCCAATTTTGACTCGAGTTACAACCTTAGAACTCAAGATAGCGGTCATTATCTTGATCTTTTTATACTCGGCTGCAAATTGTCTGTGTTGTTGAAGGTTGTGGTTGATCTCAAATTGCAGCTGGGACGGTTGATAGCAGAGGTGCAGCTCTAATGTTAGTGGTCACACTGGATCTCGGCTGGAATGGGATATTGTGTCCAAAAATATTACAAACGAGAGCTGGGTGAGCTGCACATTTGGCAGAGTCTGAAGCCCACATTCAACATGCGTGACTTCAAGTCAAGAATGAGAACACAAATATGACTACGCGCTTAGACAATGATTCATACAGATAGACTTGACTTCAAGTCTTGAAGGTCTTCCATGCAGATTTAATGGGGAATACAGACGATCTCTAGTAATTAATCATTGCATCACAACAACAGGTTCTGCCAAGTTGTCTTGGTCATATTTTGCCTTTTTATTTTTTTGATGGAAGTTAATGAGTTGTCAAGCTTATCCTTTTATTTTCTGGTCCATCAGGGTTGTGGAATGACTGCAAGCTTCCTGATTATGAAGAAGTCGTAGGCCACCCTCCGACCCCACCTCCTCCGTATTCTGAAAACCCTCCTGAGTCAACTCAAGCACTCGTTCCACAAATAAACCCTCCAGACTCTGCTTCTGTGCCTGAAATTCTGCCAGAGCCGTTGCCAAGGGTGGACTGCCAGGGGTCGGGCTCTCAGTCAGACCACGAGATGGCATCACTCCCGGTCCAGGGAGGACCGTGTCAAGCAGAGGAGAACGTGGAGGCTTTGTTGTTGGCGGCTGCAGCAGAGGAGGAGGAGGAAGACGAGGAGCTCATCACTCGACGCCGGCATGTGACCGGCGACTCGGGGATAGAGGTGTGCGTTTGCCAGCTGGATGTGGACGAGTGCTCGGGGCTCGAGGAAGAAGGGGATGAGGATGGCCAGATGTGCAGCGTCGCCAACAGAGACTGCTGCTCCGGACACCAGCAGGAGACGTTCAGACAGAAGGAGGGCAACTCGGAGTTGCCCAGCCAGAACACCAGCACTGGAGACAACATGGTGTGACGCATCAACCAGCAAACCAGTGCAGCTTCCTGCTTCATACAGGGTGATAATGTTGCTATCATCATCACCATAGAGACTGTCTGTGCTTTAAATCTAAACTAATACATGGACACGACTTTAGGGTGATGATAACTAATCTGTTACGGCTTCTGTTTAGGACAGGTTAAATAATGTGTGGCCTAACTTCTGGCTTTGTTCATATACTATTGTAAGTGGGAGAGTCAGCAAACGAGTTGCTCCATGTGGTGTTTTGACAGAGTATGAAGTGTGAAAAGACAGCAGTTTGAGACTGAAACTAGAATTGACTGATTTCTTTGCCTTCTCCTGCATTACTGCTGTCCTGTTGCCTCTTCTGTCCCGCGGCTCTCACAGGTCAGAACATTTCCCGCTGTCCTTCCGCCCGACATTTCACCTCCAGTAGGACTGTCGTTTAGAAGCATGCCAACACGGTCGGCAACATTTCTCCTGTCACCCTCCTACATCTAAGCAGACGAGTCAAGAACAAACTTCTTGGCAACTCGGCTTGATCTTGGGATGAATTAAATAGAGATTGTGTTCATTTTTGTTTTATTTTTCAAAGCTTGGTGCACGCTACGAAGCGTAGACCACAGCTGCGTGTTGATATCTCTGAGGTCATGGCCAGTGGGTTTTGTCGTGCTTTGACGTGAAGGCTGGTAGGCTCGAGTGGGGGAGACTAAACACTTCAGCAGAGAGACGTCAGTCTTTTGTTGAAATGTCACCGTAACCTCTTTTTTTTTTTTTTTTTGATAACCATACTGTTTTCACCAGAGCTGCATGACTGCTAATTACAAAGACAAGAGGTGCTCAGCAATTTAGATGTTTGATTTATTGACGGTGTCCTTGTGATTCTCTCCCACTCCTGTTTCTAACCGCAGCAACAAAGTGGGTTATCCCACCAAACACTGAGTGGATTAATGAGCCTGGAGATGGCTCTAGATTTTATTTAAATTGAATTTTTGTCCAATTTATTGCTCACAATATTGTTTTTTTTCTAATCTTGAAGGATGTAGTTGCTTTTTCATTTCATAACCAGCTCTAATTTGTTAAATGCTACAGGCCACTGCCATTAATTGCAGCATATTTTATGATGGGGGGGCTGTTTGCCAGTGTGCACCAGTGATAGAATCCTACAATGCAGTCAGGAAAACTTATTATATTTCTTTATTTTATATTTAAAGTGCTGCAGCATTTAGTTGAAATCATAAGTTAAAGCACTGATGTTTAGCACGAGGCATGATTTAGTGTTATTAATTAGATTTATTTTGCTAATCGTTAATAGTGGATGCTAAACTGCTTTTTTTTTGTCGTCAGTTAAAAAAATGGACTAAAGTTGAATTGTTTGGATGTCGTTAGGACTGTAGGACTCTGCTGTTGTGCAAAGCTGGTAACCAAGTAGCAGATGATGCCTCGGGTCTCTGTAGCTCTTGGCAGTGTGAGGGATTTGCAGTGGTATTTTCCACTGGCAGCTGTGGGCCAGTTCATTAACGAGGTGAGACGGTTGCAAGCTTTTCTCTGCAGTTCATTCAGTGCCGGCACAGACACAAAAACTATTGTGATTAAATGCATGTTTGCTTCTTTTTATATTGCGCTATATATATATATTTATGTGCTCAACACCACTTCTGCAGTCACGACAGATGTGAAATCCACAGCTAAATGAAATTCTCGCACAGATAAAACATCTGTTCAAGACGAGCGGTAACTGATTTGTCAGTAGATGTACTTTGTAAGGATTTGCTTTGATTAGTCTAATTGGTGTGAAGCACACAAACACATGAAAATCTTAGTGTTAGAATTATGTACAATTTCTGTGCAAAATTTGGTACAGGGGATTGTGCGCTTCATAAAGAACACTTTTTCTCTCGACTCCGCTTCACAGCCGTCTTTTCCTAGTTGTGGTTGTACGCGGGATAGAAAGCGTACCGCTGCGGCTCGACAAAACGCAACAGGGCCACAAAAGCGCGTCAAAACAGAAAGATCAAATATTAACACCACTATCTGAGGGTAATGTTCCAAGCAAACAAGCTGTGTTTGAAAAGAATGCAGTTTGAACGTGAAGCCATGCTGACCTGATTAACTTTTCAGAAAAGCAGTTAAGATGACCATAACTGCACACCTATTAGCAGAATTATTATTATTATTATTTTTTTTTTTGACAGTACACCTCAAGCTGCCTTTCTCTGGAGCGTATATCTTAACTATGGAGCTGCGCAGTAAGAGCAAAACCTCTGTATGTGGAAACAAATGTAATATTGCCTTATGTAGGAGTTTCTTTGTACCATTTGTGTAGTTTTTAGAGAGCAAACGCTGTTTCGTTTTAGTAAAAGGTAACATTTGATCTCTTTCCGGGGGATCCCGATCTCTTCGTAATTAAAGGATGTGGTATATCAGCCTCTGAATGAAAGCTGCCCCGGCTGAACTTAACAGTGGTTTTGTAACTGAGAAATGGTCGTGTTGCGTTTTAAAATAAATCCAGTGCGATTAGTTAGTTGTGGCACTGATGGAGTTTTGTGTAGAGCAGGCGGCTGAGTTCGTGCTCAGCTCTGGTTTTGTTCGTGTACGTGGTTGCAGTTAGTGAAGAGAAAAAAGCATGAAGAAAATTATAATATAAAAAAAAGAAGGCTTTGTCGTTTGTGTTCGTGTCTTGTATTTGGAGGACAAAACTGGTCTCCAACTAGAAATGGCTCTGTTACCTTTTGCTTATTTATATGCATATAAAAGTAAAATAAAACCCCCGGGGAAGGTAGGACTGTGAAAAGTGAGGATTTTTTTTTTTATACACAAGTGAACTGGAGGTTAATAGTTTTCCTGTTGCCAAACTGCAATGCCTCCTTGATTTTCAGATTTACTGAGAGTAAGGGCTATCTACTATTAATGAAATGTTTGAATCATTGACGGCATCCACTGACGGATTCATTCATCTGCTGTTGGTCATTCGAAGCCACCGTTGCTGAGATCCGCTACATGAACACAGATGTGTAATGTGAACACGTTGACGTTGGATGCTTGGCTCATATTTATCTTCTAGCTGATTGTATATGACCACGTGTATTTGTTGTGTAGGCTTGACTTTGCCTTCTTTCTTGTCAACCTCAACAGAGGTGCGTGATGCAACATAACTCCCCTCCTGTTTGGATGCGACAGGTGGTTTTTTTTTTTTGCTTTGCCTCGTTCGCTCCTCGCGGACCGTGGCTCCGCTCCACTTTAACAAACTGTAGCCGACACCGTTGCCGTTTTCATTTTCCTTCAGCTGCTACGCTCCACACACTAACGTCTTAGCAACAAAAAGGGCAAGTTCACCCAGTCTACCAAAGCCTTTGCCGCTTCATTGCTTCACCGATTGTCAGGAGTCATACGTGTGCTTTTGTTTGGTTGTCATGATGATGGTCACTTTGGTTTCTCACTCTCAGGGTTATTGTTAATAAGCAGTGCTACAACACATTTCTGACCCCTCCTGTCTTTTAAAAGCCAAAGCAGTTGTCTGATGTCACCCCGTTGTTTAATATGAAACCAGCATCACGCACCTCTGTAAACTTTACTCAACTAGGCTATGCAAAGACATAAACATACTGTTAAATGCTGCAAACCCCTTTTTTCTGTCATTTGTGGGCACCTGTACAAGCAATATAACTCTCAGTACTCGTGGCACTGCACTGTACTGTAATCTACTTTGACTGGTCTGTGTAAATCGATTTGTTATTAAAAAAAACCTTGTAAAATGTACTTGTGACTGTATGCTTGATTCTGTTGAGGGGCTTCAGTTAAAAAGCCATTCTAGCTTGTAGATAGTTCCTTCTCTTCGACTTTTTCCTGTCGGACTCCCTCAACCACTAACTGACTCTTGGATTTACCACATTTTTAAGGTGTGCATGCCGAAGGGGGGGGGGGGGGTAGATATTCTAGGTAATGATAGATCATCTCTTGTTTATTAGTTTGTTTGGTGTGTTCAACTTCTCCACGCCTAATCCTTATCAAATTAAATGGAAGTTTCTCTTTTTTTAAAATTTCAGACAGAATATTTAACTGTTGCCTTTAATATCCTGTCAGTTTAATATATGTATCATGAAAGATCAATGTGGAACGCAGTCAGATAACTCAACACAAAGCAGCTAAGTGTCACTACTTTTGTGAGTCTGACATTGAGCTGAAAGAGTACCCCCCCCCCACCCCCCAGCCACATATTCTGTTGGTCGCAATGGTTGAGTATTTTAGTTTGAAAGGGAAGCAGCTTCAGCAGCTACAAACACTTCACTTACTACATTGTTCTAATCAATTTTAATTAAGCCACAATAAGTAAAGTGGTGGGGCTGGGGGGGGGGAGCACTGACTGACAAAAATGCTTTGGTTTCGGTTAAATGTCTACTGTGCACTGTCTGGGTCATCATTTGTATTTTATTTTTTATAATAAAAACTTTGGTGCTCTACTGAAAGACTTGTTTTCTTGACTTGAAGAATACCAAGCGTTTAATGCTTTAAACATTTTGTTACCTGCTGCCTTGAATGAAAGATAAAAACAGAGTTTGAGCTTCGATGTGGAAACACTGGTCCGACAACACGTGTGACTGTCCAGATGTTGATCTGGAGGATACCACTGTTAGAGGCACTTCAGACAGCTGGCTTAAGTTATGGATATTCAAAGATAAGACCAACGCAAGTTCTTAGTACTTTGACTAAGGTTTTTAAAACTGCCTTTATCACCCTTCATAGCAGTGGTGCAGTACATTTTTGTAGTGGGTATACTGTGCTTAGAAACCAAAGTACAGTGGTTAGTACAATGTAATCAACAATTTATTTTGATTTTTTAAGCATATTGAACATTTCCAGATTTCTCTGCTGCTTATATTTGAATAAATGAACAGCAAACTTTGCACCACAGTTGGCTTTGTATTAAAAACATGATATGGAATTTATAAAACAGTATCAAAGCAAAACATGTTCCAGTATTAAGTAAGTACAGAAGTATCATCATAGTTCGCTGGATAAGCAAATGTAATAA